AAAACTCTTCTTCAAAAAGTCTGAAGCACCTATCCGGGATCTGTTGTACTAATCGACATCAGTCTTGAAAAGACCTCAAGCCCTAAGCTTTGGTTTGTTCTTGTAATTCGATCATTAATAATTTACGCTCCTTCACCTTTCCCCTTTCTAGGTGAAAAAGGTAGTGAAGACCACCACTACACGCACAGTCATCCCATCTGTGTCAGACACTTTGTCTGTGGATGGCGGTTCGGTTGTCGGGGGATACACCCCACCCATGATGTATAGGCAGGGCCAAGGAATGGCGGTCCCCATGGAGTATCCCACCCACACTGTGCCCCGCAACTACCACTACGGACCAGCAGGGGGCTATGATGAATACATGGGAGGACCTCCGTCTGAGGCATATGCAAGCCTCAGCAGGGGGGCCCGGATGGATGATCAGTACAGGTGAGCTGCTTCTACTTCAGTCTGGAAGGCTGTCGGATATTTAGGAAATTAATGAATGCAATCTTTACATTTTGTATTTAGTGTATTCAAATGGTTAAACAGATCTATTTTGACTCTAACCCCTCCTCCTTTTCTTTGTCCTGATCAGACCGGTCCATCCAGATGGTTACAGAACTCTGGATCCGAACTACAGAGCCCCCAGCAGGAGCCAGTTAGACCCATATGCTGCCCAACCGCAAGTATGTTCAACAATGAATGCATCATTTGCCTTGGGGCATGTTTAAACAGAATCTCACTGGCAGGTTCCACCTGTTACATGAACTCTGATGCTTTTCTAGCTAGCTAGCTTCTGTATGTCAAAGTTGAGAAAAAAACACTGAGATGCTGCAGCTGTTTTACATTATCCCATCCCTGTTTGCTCACAGGTTGGGCGGATGGGAAGTGCAATGGAGCTATCCTCCATTCCTCGCTTTATCCCAGATCCATACGGTCTGGAAGATGATCAGCGCAGCATCGGCTACGATGAGCCGGACTACGGCATGGGACATCCAATGCACTATGGCACTGTGCCTCGCAACCATGGCTATGCACACGGCCCCCCGCCACGCAGGACTGGGTGAGTATGTTAGAAGTCTTTTTAGTCTGAAGCAGCACAGAGAGGTTTTCTTCAGGTTCATCTCTCACACCTTTTTCTTCCTCTGCAGGAGTTATGAAGGTGCTTTAGATGGAGATCTGGGTGGTGCAGGAGACTTTTACTATAGCAGAGGAGCGCCGCTGGCCCAGGGCGAGAGGGGGAGTGTGGCTTCGCTGGACACTCTAAGGAAAGGACCTCCCCCCGGTGGATGGCGTAAGCCAGAGCTGCCAGAGGTCATTGCCATGCTAAACTACAGACTGGACCCTGTCAGGAGCAACGCAGCAGCATACCTGCAGCATCTCACCTTTAAGAACGACGCAGTAAGACTTTTTCTTTAATTTCTTCTATTCATTTAGAATCTTTGTGAGGTGCTGCCTGCAGCTGGCTTTTATTTTTCATTATTATTGTTTGTTTTAACGTAGATACTTCCTCAGGATGGGTTAGAGTTAAAGGCAAAGGGGAACATCTAGACTATGGATCAGCTGATCTATCTGATCAGAACTAAAAAGAAACACTGCTGTGCTTTTAAGAGAGACTGCTTTGTCATTTAAAGGTCATTTAAAGGTTTAATTCCAGTCACTGAATTATTATTTTAGCTTTATATATTCAAGCAAAGAATCATGTCAAACATGCCGGATGCCTTGGAGGACTGTAGTTGTCCCCATTGCCTGTTTTATGTTTACAGTTAGAAATGCTGAATTAAAACTTTGTGAACAATTTCTGATCTTAAGTTTTGTAACCCTTTAATCTGCTAGTTTTGAGGTTTGCTGATTTTGTTTTCTCTTCATCAGCCAGAACAGAAGATCTAATCATGTTAACCTCAGTAGACAAACATCATGCTAATACTCAAAGAACTAACCTGGAATCTTATGAACGTGTGGCAAAATCCACAAAGCAACAGTGTTAGTGGGAACTAATGGAAAAAATGCAATTTTTCCCGATAAAGATTGGACAATTCCTGTCACTAACTTTTAATGTAATAGAACTAAATAAATTATTGGATAATCAGCCTGGTGGAAGGAGATGAACCCCACCATTCAAACACTGAGTAATGTGAGTCCTTCTGATTTGCAGGTGAAGTCTGATGTCCGTCGTCTGAAAGGCATTCCTGCCCTGGTCTCTATGCTCGACAACCCAAACAGAGAGGTCCGTTTGGCATTTCCTGAATGGTTTATGATTTCTGCCTGACCTGAGAGGAGCTAGAATTGATGCCTTAAAGGAACCTGACTCTGTTAGATTTTACTTTTCAAAACTGAATGTGACAAAATTGTCATAATGTCTTAGGTAATTTTTTGGAGGTTTAAAACAAAGAAGAGGGATCTGTATGTTAAATTGGGAACATGTGAAATTTTTTTTGGACTTTGTCACAAAGCTCTGCTTATGTTCCAATGAAAAGCACTGTGATACAACATATTGTTTAATTCATAAGAGCATATCTCTGTCACCACGTTCTGAATGTGAAGGGAATTAATCTCCACTGAGTCCTAAGGTCTTCCTGGGTCTGTCACAGGTTCACTACGCCGCATGTGGAGCACTAAAGAACATTTCTTTTGGCAAAGATGCCGACAATAAAATTGCCATCAAGAACTGCGATGGAGTTCCTGCGCTGATCCGGCTGCTGAGGAAGACGCGCGATCACGAGCTCACAGACATCATCACAGGTTGGACTCATAACCTTAAACAACCAAACATCTGGGTCATGATTTCATTTATTCATGTTTAAAGCTTCTTCTGCGATGGACTGGCCACCCGTCTTGGGTGTAACCCACCTCTTGCCGTAGACAGCTGGAGATAGGCACCAGCACCCCTCGCGACCCTGCATGGGATAAGGGTGACAGAAAATGGATGGATGTTCTGGCATATCTAAAGCTAAAGCTTCTTTAGCTTTAGATATGCCAGACTAATTATGGAAGGTGTAAGGCAACTGGCCAGATTCTCTCCCTTTGAGATTTGAGTCTGGTTCAGCGGTTTTACTGAATACAACGGCTTCAAAACCTTTTAGCAGTAAATGCTTGTCAAGAGCATCAAATCCTTTGTGTTGTTGTTACATCCTCCTTGCTGCATTAATAAAGTCTGGACGGATAAAAAGGACTCAGAATTAGTGGCAGCAGCTTTTCCATAAATCTTCTCAAAACAGAAGCAGCTTTTCTGCCTTTACTGTTTTCTTTTTCACAGCTGATGCAGAAACTTTGATAGTTTTTCCTTTGATACTGAGTGAAAAGTGATTTGGGCACAGCAGCCAGATGTGCTGGATGCTTAAAGGAACCTTCCACCACTTCAGTTCCATAGGTGACAAAGGTCATTTAACAGAAAACTTGCTGACTATAATCTAGACGGATTAGCAAAAACCACAAGTGGATTATTTAAATATAAAAAACACTCCTTAAACAAAATATTGTCATTCCTGCTGGCTGTTTTTTTTTTTTTTCTTCGTTTCTTCTTCTGTTTAGGTTTTTTTTAAATGCTGGTCTTAATGTAGAAACAGTCAGCGAACAATAGCTGCATGTAGAGTTTGGCTTCCTGTTTATATTGGCTGCTTACAGCATAGCAGTTACATTAGGATGTAAATGGTCTTTAGAAAAGCTACTTAGCAGAAATTTGTTAGATTAAAGGGATATTAAATATGCTGCCACACAACAAATTAGAAATATACACATTGGAAAAAACGATCTAGAAATAAGTAAAAATGTCTTAAATTAAGTGTATTTACCCTTAATTTGAGTAGGTAAATGAGATAGTTTACCAATGGAAGGAGTATTTTTACTCTTAAAATAAGATAATTAGATAATATGCACCTTAAATAAGACAATGCAATTGTGTTTTCTTATTTTAAGTGTAAATTATCTTGTTCCATTGGCAAAATCTCTTTTACCTCCTCAATCTGAGAACAAATGCACTTATTTTAAGAAAAAATGACTTATCTAGATTTCTATTTTTTCCAATGCACTATTATGAAAATGAAACAATGAGAAAGTCCTTCATTACTGTTATATGCAAGTATATAATATTTCATATAATGTAGGATAACAAATGAGAAGCAGCTGTGACTCTTTCCTTCAGCTTTCAAATAATAACTGTTATTTTTCACCATCTTTAAAATAACACCTTAACACTAGACTCTGGCCTGTTCTTGACGACATTAATCAATTAGTTTTGTTGTTTTTATCCTCCAAAGGAACTCTTTGGAATCTGTCATCCCAGGATTCTGTGAAGATGGAGATTGTGGACCACGCCATACACGCGCTCTCTGACGAGGTCATGGTTACCCATTCTGGCTGGGTGCGGGGAAGCAACGGCGCTGCTGGAGGCGGCGGGGAAAACGGCAAGCCCAGACATCTGGAGTGGGAGATTGCTCTTACTAATACGGCGGGCTGTCTGAGGTACGGAGGAAGGAAAGCAAGGAATGCAGGCAGCTTTAAAGAGCTGATCAAAGCTGCTGCTAATGGAGGGAAGGACTGATCTTTTCAGGAAAACAACAGGAAAGGAGTCCAGTTAAATAAACTGATAGAGGGAGAGGGAGAGAGAGTAGACTGATCAGGTTAACGGAGCAGAAGAACAGGATTTGCATATTGAGGAGGAGAGGATTATGTTTGGAATGCAAAGGTTGCTCTGTTTGTATTGATTTGATTTAACCATTCAGTGCTACCCTAGGCTACATAAACATAGCATTAGATTTATTATGTGCCAAGTTTACTGATTTCCTGTAACATTTGATCTAACGGTTAATTTATAGGAGCTGATTTAACAGACAAACACAATGCAGCTTATAACTGTGTGTCAGCAGCATGATAGCATGATAACGTTTTCAGAAAAAAAAAACCTAAAAAGTGTGCCTTTATATCCGGCTTCCTATTCTCTAATAGCCATAAATAAAACGCTAAGCATTTCACCCTAAATTCACCATCACCACCATAAAGAACAGAGGGGGCACCATCATTGGCCTAAAATTAGCCTGTCAGAGGCTGCAAAAAACTGGAGAATGAGAAGGAGGTGCAACATCCAGCAGGTCAGTGACTCTAAACATGCCATGATGGTTACAAGCTCAGATCACAGTGATGTTCCCCATTGATTCTGACTGAGCTGGAGCTAATTCATCAAGAGCAGCAGGCAGGATAATTTGGTCTCTAGATGAAGAGAGGCTGTCGAATAATGCTCTCCTAAGTATTAACTAAGCAGAGACGTGTCAAAATGTGCTTGAAAAACTATAATAGGTAGCAGATTATTCCAGGTCATAAACCTGGATGATATCGACACAAACTCTTATAAATAAATATTTCTTAATTTCAGTCATTATGAAATATTTTCAATATCAATTGAAACAAAATAAGAAGCTGATAAAGAGGACCAAGAAATCCCATAACAGATGTCCGTACAAATTTATTACAATTATTCTGCCATGTCTATAAAACTCTTCTAATATAACAATTTTGAAGTACTTAGTTTAAGAAATAAAACTCCTAAAACCCGGATTCTCAGTCAGTTACAAATACTGTAATCAGAATTAAATGTATATTTAGATATGGAAAATGACATATGACCTTATATTAAATTGTCCAGGTCATCATCTGGGACTACTTTGTGTTGCTCTGTGTATAAAAAAAAAACTCCAACAGAGGCTGAAGACGATCATCCTGCTTTTAAATCTCAGAAAAGGTCTGCCATGACATCCTAAATAAACCAGGAGAGCAAGAAGAAAGGAATTCCAATTATTACAGCAATGAGCAGAGAACAGTGGGGCATTGACTTCTACACTGTAAACAGCATCTGTAGTGCAGTGGTTCTGTTATCTGTGGTTTCTCCTCAACCATCGGGTTAATTGGTGCTCTGCAGGGGGAAAGTATTTGTATATAACTTTATCTGCATCACTTTAAAAGTCTGGTTTTGAGGAAACCTTCTGCTAAACGTCAAATAAGATCATGATGTTGAGCTGTGACCAACAGCGCGATGCTTCACAATGAATGAGGGGTTTTACACAAGGCGCTGAGTTTAGAGATTCTGGTTTTGTTATAAGAATAAATCTGAGAAGTTATGCTTTAATCTGTGCAACCTTTTTGTTGTTTTTTTGTGGAAAATGTTTGTTTCAAAGATTACTGTTGATGACTAACTGTTGGTTTGCTGCTGAGTTTATGAGTATCAAGCATTTTAAACTGGCTGTCATTTTGAGTTTATGAGCAATATGGTTTTACGGTCTGCAAACAGGAGATGGCAGCAAGTTTTTACCAATCACTTACTCTAACATAGAGTGTCTAAGAAGTAAGGGTTCTGATGAAGAATAAATGTTCCAAATTTAACTATCATAAAACCTGTAAACCATTTCTGCATTTTGTTTCAAACCAAATGGAAAACAAATCTCTAACTTTAATACCAGTGACTCTTTAAGGTGAAACCCGTCCGTCTGTAGTTTTAATGAACTTCCCAGCCTCTACATAGACCAGGACCCCCCAGAGCTGAAAGGAGTGTCTCCTTGTGTCGTATGAGAAGGCGTGGCTGTCTCTGGGAAATACGAGCGGAGTACTAAAGGCCAGCACTGAATGGCTGCAGTTTCTCCTTTATCCTTTATATTCACTTATTACCCCCAATCAGGGTTAAATTCCATCTCTGCGTAAGAATAAGCCAGAGATCCAGGGATGTAACTGGATCTTCTCAGATTGTACTGTCTTTTTGAAGCTGTTTAATTCAACCACCTCCGTGGAGCATGTTGACACATCCCTCAGGGTTCCCGCAGGTCCTTAAAAAGTCTTAAAAGGCATTGAATTCTTCAAAATAAAACTAAGGCCTTAATTGGTATTAAAATGTCTTAAATCAGTCTATCGTAGGTCTTAATTTTTAAAACATAAATAGGATAATTAAATTCCAATTTATTTTTGTAATCTAAATACGTTAAAATTGACAATTTTTTTTTATTTAAAAAAAATAACATCTTACTATTATTGGTTCCGTCCCGATAGCGGGACCAATAAAAGCGTTGTTGTTGCCGGGACATTTGGGAGATGCGCCATTAACTTTTTGTCTGGAAAATATGAGCAAGTGTAAATGTAATGAAAATTGGCTCCAGCCAAGAGTTTTCTTCATGGCTAAAACCAGGGAACATACATGAGGCACAGCGGATTTTGAGGCACACAAAGCCTCAAAATCAAGTTACCGAGAAACAGCCGGTATTTCTCAGTTTTGTTCCACCCTTGTCTCTGCAACGCCTCCACTTATCACCAAATCAAACATACGAAGAAAACGATACAAAGAAAAATAACTGCAAATAAAACTTAGCACTGGGTATGTTGTGGCTTTAAAACTGATTTGTTTTGTTCCCTGCTAAAACAAAGTTTGTGAATTCAGTTAAATATTTGTTAAAATAGATCTGTCATTTGTGTGTTTTTAGCTTTCTTCCTGTATAGGAAGTTTTTCAAAATTTGAATCATTAGTGCAGTGGTTTATGTTAAAATAAACCTTTGGGTTAAGTTGTTGCAAGCGGGTTTTTCTTGTGTTTCTTGTGAATTTGGTCTTAAATTTTTTATTTCAAGTGGCATTAAAAAGTCTTGAATTTAACGTGCTTTATGCTGTAGGAACCCTGATCACTGTATTTGCTGCTACCTGAATGCTGTGACTTAAACTGACTTCTTCTCAGCTCGTAACTTCTCGTCCATGTGGTGACCAGTCTCTGCTTTCCTTTTCTTTTCCTTTGAAGAAACGTGAGTTCAGAAAGAAGTGAGGCGAGGAGGAAGCTGAGAGAGTGCAATGGATTGGTGGATTCCGTGATGCACATCGTCCAGTCCCAGATCGACTTTAAAGATGTGAACAATAAGGTGTGGAAGGCTGTTTACTGCTGTTTTAAATTACATTTATTTGTTCTTAGTTGAAAGCAGCTCTTTTATATATATTCTTTGGAGGAATTAAAATCTTAACCAAATGTGATATGTGATGGGATACTAATGAAGGACTTATGCATTTTAAATAAAATAATAATAGCATGTTACTGAATTTTACTCATTTCTCTTTCCTTTTTTTTTTTTCCTTCCCCACACCCTGTTTTCTCCTCTTCATCACCGCAGTTGATCGAGAACTGTGTGTGTCTGCTGAGGAACCTGTCCTATCATGTGCACAGCGAAATCCCAGGCGCCGATCGCTACAAGGAAACCCCACCCATCAACCAGGGCCCCGCCTCCTCAAGTCAGAAGGGTGGCTGCTTCAGCTCCCGCAAGGGCAAAGGTCGGTGTGGCAGAGCAGGATGGAGCCATGTGGTGTGTTTGTTCATTCGGTTTCAGGAGCGTTTAGGGCGATTTTAGTTATAGTGCTCTCTGACTCCACTGAAACCTAAACATACACACACACACCTAAACAAATAAAACCACTCGATGCCTCAGGAATGTTAACTATCTCCACTCAGAACTCTGTTGGCTTTTCACACAGAGTATTGATCTGTTTTACCTGCAGGTTTGTGACAAGACTGATAGTATTGCTCAGACTCGAGGCAGGACTTGGATTGTATGTGTTAGTCTTGGCTAAATTTATTCATGAAAGGAAGAGTTTCTAAGGTATATGTTCATCTGATGCTCTGCAGAAAAGTTGATTATATAGCAAAAATTATTTCATTCTTTTTTTTATGAACAAACTCTGAGACTTTTAAATGAAAACGGTGTTTTAAAATCACAGCATTTGTATGAGATGCATTTCTGTCGTATTTAACCAAAGTAGTGCTAATATAACAACAGTAGAGACTGCTGGAAATGTCTCCTATTTGGTATGTAGGACATGAACATATGTTTGAAACATGAGAAAATTAGAAATAGGATATGTTTATGCACAACAGCATGGAACAACAATGCACATAATCAGCATTTATGGATTTAAACTTAATAATAATAATAATACATTTTATTTGTATTGCACTTTACATTTAAAAAAAATCTCAAAGTGCTTAACTTTTTCTCCAATAGTTCCCTGCATTTAAAAGGCTTAAGTCATATTTATAAAGCAGAGCTACCCTAAGTGCTTCCTGCCATTTAAAGCTCTCAGAATAATTTCATGTGGGTTGACAGAAGGGTGGAAGAACTGAGGCTGACCTCTACAGGCCGTCAGGGCGATGGACGCTTTAAAGAAAAGGAGGGCAAGATTTTCACAGAGGAATTCAAATCTTAAAATAGCGAATATTTGGTGAACCACCAAAGCTTTGTAATTCATCTCGTAGGGAACAAAACCAAAGGCGTCCATTGGCTTTTACTCAAACAGCCTCGGGGTGTCCATTTATTTAACTAAGCTAAATGCAGTCCATATTTTCTAAGGATTAATTATTGGAAAATAATTAGAAAATAGGAAACATGAAAAACCTTGAAAATTAAGGAAATCCTTTATTTTAGTTAGGTAGACGTGTGAGAATCCTTTTTGTTTCAAACTTATAAGGAGTTGCAGATTATTTTTTTAAATATACCTTTCATTAAAATATTGCAAATGTTGGTTTCTAATAAAAAATATACTCTTAAATTTAGCAAAAGTCACGACATCAGTGTTATAAAGGTTGAACAGTAGATTTTTAGCTCAAGTTTAATTAAACCTGTGTCATAATTTAATATTGTCTTTTGGTTATTCTTTAATAGCTTTTGTTTAATGAATTTATCATATGAAAATAATTTTTAATAATATAAAGTTCACATATTATAGACCTGTAGAAATACTTAATCATCTAGTTAAAAACAGGCTTAAATCAGAGGCAGGTTGACCTTTGACCTGCAGAATAACCGAAATGATAACATCTTCTTTTAAGCTGTTTTGGGGTTTAGATATTACAAAAATCTAACAACATGAAGCTGTAGGATAACAGATCTTTGTAGCCTCGGGCTGTTATCTTTCCTATTGTTTTTTAATTTTTACAGCTGGTTAAAACAATAATTATCATTAAATGGTTTCTTGTCGTTCAAGTTTTTCATTTGTTGGCTCAGTTTGTTGTGATATTATTTCCTGCTTCATAAACTGAGCGCTTATGTTCAAATTTAAATATAGAAGGCTGTGTATCTTCTTTGTGGAAGCTAAACATGTAAAACTATTGCTAATTAATTTCTTTAAAAAAAACATGGAATATTAAATGAGGATCATGAAATGTTTTCCTTTCTAGTTCTGTTGTGTTTTATTAAACATGCATCTGGCATGTCACCTCCTGGCTCTGTTTGGGGCTGTCGGGATGGAAGCACATGTTATCTGGGTGGCAGAGTAATGGCTGCTTTCCTTTTTAATGCCTTTTCTCTTTCCTTTTTTTCCTACCACTCCTCTTCTTCCTCATCCCATCCTTTTTTTTGCTCCTTTTCCTTTTGCCCTGTCTGGCTCGGCCACAGACGAGTGGTTTTCCAAAGGTAAGCTTCCTTTACCTCTGTGTAACGGCACTTGGTATCCTCCGCCTGATCTTGTCTGAGTGGAAGCTGTAGTCAGTAGACTGATCATGTTTGGGTTTTTAAAACTAACAAGCACGCCTGCTTTTTATTGAGGTCGTCTTGCCTAGTAACCCAGAGTAAAGAATTGCATCTTTATTTTTCCGGTTGTGTGTTTGCGCGTATCTAACCAAACTAGTGCTAATATAACAACAGTAGAGACTTTGCTGGAAATGTCTCCTATTTAGATGTAGGACATGATTGCTAGCTCCTTCAAATAGAATTTTTTGGTTTGCTGCTTCTAGGAAAGAAAGAGGATGATCCAGCTGCAGATACAATAGACATTCCAGCAAGGACCAGCCCTGCTAAAGGTAAGGACACTACTTAGGTCATTTAGGTCATGCTTTATTTTTCCTGACCTCTGCTCATTTCCTGTGGTTGCTGCATGTTCTGTCCAACAGGCTATGAGCTGTTGTTCCAGCCAGAGGTGGTCAACATATACACAAAACTGCTAACGGAGTCCAGTAACCTCACAGTCCTGGAGGCCTCAGCTGGAGCCATTCAGAACTTATGTGCCGGACACTGGACAGTAAGAGCTGCCTAATGTCCTCATCCTGTTCTGTCTCACAGCACAGTATTAGGGAAACAGCTTTTTATATTTCTTTTTCATGAACAGCTCAAGATGTTTTTTTTTTGTTGGTTTGTTTTTTTTTTGGATCAGAGAGATTTATTTTGTCTTTGACTGATGCACTTTGCTAACTTAATTCAAGCTGTGGAAAGAAAACATATGAAAAGTGAAATCCTGACACAATCTTCAAAAGACTTTTGGCCGCAAAACTATTCAAGAAGAATGTCATTTAATGTAGGGTAGGAAAATGATCATCTAATAATAACTGTTGTTTTCCGGGTGTTTGAGTTTCTAATAATGTGGTGTGTTTAGTAGGGATTTGTTTGTCACTGGAGAGGAATTGTGATGTTTATAATGTTGATGTTTCTAATTGGGTGTGTCTGATGGATAATCCTTTGTTTTCATTGTGTCTGCTTAGTATGGACGATACATCCGTTCCTTGATGCGTACTCAGAAAGCTCTCCCTCTGCTGACCGAGCTGCTGGGCCACACCAATGACCGAGTAGTCCGTGCCATGTCCGGAGCCCTCCGCAATCTGGCTATAGATGCACGCAGCAAGGATCTGCTAGGTAAGCTGTCAGAAACCAGGCTTTGCACAGGAACTGTATCTGTTTGAAGTCCTAATGCTTGTTTACCTTGGCCTGTTGGCAGGTAAACATGCCATACCTGCCCTCGTGGCAAACCTGCCTGGTGGCGGGCAGAGTCAACCTGTGCGAGCTCTGAGCGAAGAGACGGTGGTGTCCATACTGAGCACGCTCCATGAAGTGCTGGGATCCAGTGTGGAAGCTGCCAGAAATCTCAGGGACTCGCAAGGAATTGAGCGACTAGTGCTCATTAATAAGGACGGGTAACGGTGGCATCTGATGAATACTCAACGTTAAACTCACACAAAAAATCGTCTGTTTTGAGAATAAGCATCTTCTTTTTTCTTGTTTTATGTGGCAAACAGTAACCGTTCAGACCGGGAGGTACGTGGAGCTGGGCTGGTGCTACAGACTGTGTGGGGCTATAAAGAGCTCCGTCGCACCCTGGAGAAGGACGGCTGGAAGAAGACAGACTTCATGGTCAACTTAAATCCGCCCAGCAACAGCGACAGGCCCAATGGACGATACGAGGACAGCACTTTACCTCTCCTAGAGAAAGGTTAGGAGGATGTTTAACTTATAGTTTCACTATATTGACACATTAAATATAAAATCTCACTCCTTTACGCGTTACTGTTTCTATTCATAGTTTGACTCAACAAATGAGTCATTATAGATTTTTTTCGATAGATTGTGAAACATATAATGGATATTTTAAACTCCTTTGCATATATACCTGACTACAGATTCGGCCTGAGTCATAATGGACTTTTGGGTCGGCTAAAGGAACCCAGATGTCCTGAAGCCTTTACCAGTTGTAAACATTCAAAGGGCAGCATTCATAACCTGAAAATTATTACATCTTTGTTCTTAATGCTATTTCATTGATTACATCTGTGCATAATGCAGTTGCTGGCAAATGGATCAAGCAAGCATGTCTTTCTGTGATTGTTATTGGAAAAATAATCTAATTAGAGCCTTGAACCACATTGGATTCTAGTGACTATTTGTTAATCTTATATATTTAGAAAATAATTGTATTGAAACAGTTTTAAATGTTTTTCTTTCACACAGGTGGGAAAAGTGAGCGAGAAACCATCCCAATGCATGAACTTGGACCAGGCAAGTGCAGAAAGCAAAAACATTCATCTGCAAGCTAGAACAATATGGAAGACACAGTGGTTTTCGAGTAAAGATTGAAGCAGTGTTTACATTTATGTTTACTGATATTAAGTGAATACTTTGAAAAATAACAGCTTGAATGAAATTTTAAAATCTACATAATGTAGATTATATCAGCCTGACTCCTATAACTGTATACTCGCCAGTTTGGCCTAAGCTGAATATTTCGTTTTATTATTTTAACCTTTTTGTACAAAACATTTTCAGACATTGTCCTTCAGAAAGTTGACTTAACACGTTTAAACATCTTCACCACATGTTTGATCTGAGTTTCCATTGCACCAGGCATTACCAAAGATGTGCAAATATTTGCCATTTTTGATTGAATTTGAATTGGTAGGAACTTTTTTATTGGAGAGAGAGAGGTACTGGGGGATATTTTAACTGCTGCAGTTGTTTAGATTAGAGATGGAAACATTTTATTTGAGATGAGATGGTAGTAAACCGAATAACTCATTAAGAAGCAAGAAGGTAAAACAAATCTATTTGCCAGTTTTAGTTTCTTGATATTTCAGTGAGCGTTAATCTGAGTTGGACTCTCCAATAAGACCTTTTATTCTAACGGTTCACTCTGATCTCCTACTATTTCATGAAGGATGCAGATTGCTCATATCTACTCAGCATAATAATGTTCCAGAAAAAGAGAGCTTCTACTTAAAAATCAAAATTCAAAGGACCCACAAGTCAATTTCATAATGATGATAATAATTTAACTTTATTGATCTCACATTGAAGAAATTTACCTTTGCATTTAACCCAGCCCCTTGGGGAGCAGTTGGCTGCCATTGTGCGGTGCCCAGGGAGCAATGTGGGGTTAAGGGTCTTTGCTGAGGGACCCAGAGTGATAGTCTGTGGGAGTGGGGCTCGAATTTAGAACCTTAGGATTCCAATCTCTATGCCCCAACCACTAGTCCTCCACTCGCCCATAAAAAAAAGTTTGTTCATAAAACTACAAAGCTGGTTATGTACAGTTATACCTATACCTGTCAAGCTTGAAAATATTGGAAATATTACGACATCCATTGTGACATTTGAATACCCCAGTCAAGCTCCAGTATCTGTAGTATTTTAAGAAATTTGAACAAAGACCAGTCAACCAATTGCAAACTTCAATAAAGCGATCTGATGTTGGCCTGCAATTCTAGTGTCTGTTGCGTTTGGAGAGGCAGATCAATCTTTTTTGTTCTTTTACTCTAATTTCATAATACAATAACACAGGAAATTTACGGCAGATTGACACGGGAGATAACCGGAAAGGGGTGAAATACTAAAATGTTTAAATTTTTTGTATAAAAGGACATTAGATACATTTAGACTACCTTATTTTAGGAAGATCTGGTTTGAGCAACGGGTACAGTTTTGTGTTTCTGTATTCTATATAGTCTATGTTTTGAAATCTGATCGGAATGTGTAGAGTTGACCACAGGCAGCATACATTGGCTTTACCTTACAGCCAATTTAGCCTTTAAAGTAGCTTAAGGACTTTTGTCAGGAATGGGCCCAAATTCCAGCAGACTATTCAGATTCTTTTGTGTGAAAAAAAACTGAGACATGTCATACAGTTTAAAGTAAACTCTACCAAATATTTAGGGACATATGTGAGAGAACGTGAGAGAAATCTAAAACTATAAAATGATAGCAGTTCTAAAAAACTTAGAAACCAGGAAAGGTTTGTGGCTTTAAATCTGCTGCAGCCTGTTTCAGCTCCTCTGGATGTGGTTTCCGTTGAAATCAGGTATTTTTAATGGCTTGTTTTATTCTGTGTTCCACATGATCTGAAAAGGCTTCGGTTTTCCCTACAGATGCCTACTCAACGCTGGACCAGAGGGGCAGAAAGAACAGTCTGGATAACACACTTGAAGCGGCTGACCAAGTACAGGTAGAGAAACCACCACTTCCCCCACCCTGCTTTACTGCACCCCAGGTGAAACCAGAGCTATCTCACTACTAAAAAAAAAAGCTAAATATCAGCTCACTTCCAGAACCTCTGTCCTAACCCACTTATTAAGATAAGAGTATTTTCCTTAACCTCTGTGTAACTGTTGTGGGTCAATTAAAACATAATGTTTCTTCAGCTCCTCCCCTGCATTCAGAAGATGTATCTGCTCAAACATATCTCTCATTAAACTGAGCTCTAGATAAGTTATTGCATTGCTTGCTAAAAGGTTGGAAATTCATGGAAGTGATTATATCATGTGCAACACGGTGGACGGGAATGTTGTTGTGTGAATGTTCTCACACCCACAGACGGCATGTTGTTGCATGTCCTGTTAAAGCAAAGCTCTCCGTCTCTATCTTTCACATTATCTCCTGTGTGTCCTGAAACATGAACTAACATTGCACTAACATTTTGAAACTCTTCTTTTTTTTTTTTGCCATCTCACCCTTTTTCTCTCTTTTAACAACTTCCTCTGTTTGTCGTCTCACACTTTTCTTTTTTCCATCATCTTTTTGTTCACCTCGCTCTGTGTCGCCTCACCTCTGGGCTCCTCTTCCCGTCTTTTCCAACTATCACACACTCCCTCTCTCTCTTTTATATTTTGTCTCCTCTCTCAGGGAGGGATGTATGGGGAGAGGCAGGCTTCCTTGCCTCTTTTGGATTCTTACGATGGTTAGGCCACACCCACTGTCACACTGCATGTCAGCGCATGGTATGTGTGTCCCACTGGCTTCTCCACTCAACTCACCGCATGGCCTAATATTTTAGACATTGGTAAAAATACCTTGCAAAAGTAAATACACGCAGAGTTAAGGCATGTGCTGCTGTTCTTCTCAAAGATGTTGTGAAAAATGGAGTTTAGCACTCGCCTGCAGCCATGGAAGTGATTGCTTCATCTTAATGTATAGACGTTGGTGTGACTCAGTACTATCTGGCCCTTAAGGCAGAGCAGCACCCAGAACACGTTGGACATTCTGATCCAAATCAGACCTTTTTTTCCTTTTCTTTGTCTACATGCAGATTTTCTATGCAGTCCAGGTTTGGGAAAGTGTTGAATTAGATTGATCATCATGTCTTTAGGGATTACTTTCTGGGAAAGCTGGGTAAAGCTGATATAAAATGATAAATACTGATAGTAATTGTAAAGAAAATTCTTATTTTACAAATTAGGGAAACTCCTGAAGGCAATAGATACCCTAATTTATTTCTTTTTAATTGTTATAGAGAAACAAAATATGCAAAATGTAGATTCTTGGTGAGCTTTTAGATTTTTATCGCTGAGGATACTAGTTGGAAACCATTCAGCAATTTATTCACTATCTTCTAATACTTTTGCAAGGCAGTGTAATGGCTCCCATTGTTTTTATGGAGCTCCCTCTCATTGTATTGTATCCAGTCAGTTTTTTTGCTCCCCCTGCTGGTGGAAAGTGTTATTTTTGTACTCTTGATGTGAGTTTTTTTTTTTTTCTGTACAGTGTTTGTCATAAGATGTGATGACATCCCACAGCTGCAGCCTGTGTATTTTTGTATTATAATTTTCTGAGTTTGAATTTTTGGGGCATGATCACTTTTTTTCAATTGATTCAAATAATTTTTTTTAATTTTCTGTTTTTTCTTTTCTTTAGAAGAACTGATTGTGTGCATCTCAAGACGACAGCCTCCTCCAACTTACTGCCCTTGCTGAACCAACAATGGGGGGGAGGGGACCACTACCAGGATTTAACTCCCAACATTTACACTCACTCCTCTCTGTCGCAGCTTCTCTTCTCTCTCTTTCTCTCTGTTACATTCCTGCAGCAAACACCTGAATGAACCCGCAGAAAGCGATGCAGATCTGAAGCTCTCCCCGCAGATGACTGTTTGCGACACTATAACCACTCCCTTTGAGTTTGTGGCCTATGAAACAACACTACAGTACAGCCAACCAGAAGGACACTAAAAGGCCTCATTTGACATGTTTTAATGTAAACGACCTGACTGGAACACTTTATGGGGATGTTTTGAACTCATAACACTATTTTGAAAAAAACAAACAAAAAAAACCAAGGGAATGTATGTTTTTCTAGCTCTTTGTTCAAAAAAATTCACAGAGGATAATAATTTCTGTCTTATTATATCTGTTCAAAGCTTTTCCTCTTCTTGATGTAGTGGTTGATCCTCTGCGTGCTTTGCCCTGTACTGCTACTTATCTACAATGTGCCGTAACTGTGCCAAAATGTCGAGACGAATGCAAAATCTCGGGTATGCCGCCTGTGTTTTTTATGTTTGCATCGCCGACCTCTTTTGGGCAGCTGAATTTGGTTAATATCCATCAATATAATCAGAGCAAGTGTCTGTAATAGATATGTATCTGCACAGAGGAATACATTTTCTTTTTCCCTTCCTACTTGTCGGAATGGACAGAATAGTCCGTATTTGAAGCGATCCTTCCGTCAAATCTTGGGAGACGCCAGAATTTCCGTCAAACTGGATCTGCTGGTCTTTAAACCTTCTGAATGTGCAAGAAAACTGTTGTTAGCACTGAGCTAACTGGAGTGCCTCACATATTGGATGTATTCTACATGTTCTGGAAAACCTTAATGTTTTAACCGTCTCTTACCGCTGCAACTTATACGTTGGAAATGCTGAATTCTGACACCTTTTTTTTGGAAAAATAAGTGAATGAATGCTTCAAATCTGTTTCTATGGCACGACGCTCTCAGTTTCTGTTTATTTCTCAGCTTCTGCCTCAGAACACTACTTGGGAGACAACTCTACGCTGATAATTCACCCACATTTGTTAGTGCCGAGTGAGATGTAGATACTGACTGGATTATTAAAAGAAGCACTATAGGGAGAATGTTTATTTTTGTTTCATGAATTTTTTTTCCCACCTTTTGTTTTCCTTGCCAGGTAAAAAAAAAAAAAAAAAATGTCTCATGTTTCCGGACAAGTTGCCTTTATACATGATTTAAGTTGGAAAACAGCAAGGTTTAATGTCAGAAAAAAGAAAAGTTTGTTAAAGAGGCATAGAACCCAATTTGCTACTAGTTTAAAATGGTGAAAAGAATAAAAGCACATCTAAACTTTATATATATATTATATAAATATACCAGAGAATATTTGTTAATTTTAATGGTTTTATGTATTTTCTTTTCATTTTGATTTGGGGATTAATTGTTTCGGGTGTGCTGGGTGAATGCATATGCAATCGTTTTTTATTTTTTGATTTAAAAAGAGAAACTCAAGTTTACGTCTTAATTGCAAACCAATTTAGCTGGATTAAAAAAAAAAAAAAAAAGTTTGTAAGCAGAAAATTCTGATTGTGAACTACACCTTAATCTCTTTGCCTTGGCTCTCAAAAGTTGCACATTCTCATTTATGATTGAATTATGTAACTAGCAATAATGTTTTTAATAAAAAACGAAAGATTTCTGTCTTGTCTATCGGTGTGATGTTTTTATATTTTTTTGTTATTACTGTATCACCATTGCATCACTTCTTTATGCATTTTCCACAGCTTGCATTGAAAATAATTAGTAGCCATATTTCAATTATTTATCCTGTAAAATATTTAGCTAGACTTGCACATCAGTTGGGTTTTCTTGTGGGTTGGCTTCCTGTGGATCGTTGTAAAGTTAGGATTTCTAATCTGATGAAGGTTATATTCCAAGCTATGTGGCCCCCTGTAGGGTTTAAATGGACTGCTGCTCAGCTGGTCACTCAAATGTTCCTTTGCTTAATGGAAAGAAGACAAGTTGGACAGTATTAAAATATTTAGAAATTAGTGTTTGTGTTAATTTCAAGGTCTGCAAATCTGCTCTTTTCTGCTTTAACACCAGATGTCTCTGAAACAGAGATCCATATGCTACACTTTGAAAAACTTTAAAGCCTCTCCCTAAAACCAGGATTTCTTTAAAAGTGATTTTCATCAAAAGTTAAAAAACTGTTGGTTTTTGGCTGTTTTTTCCAGAGTAATGGTTCAATCACAAAGCTCGGTGAAATTTAGATAGAAATCAGTCATAACTGAACTGCTTGATAGGAGGAAATTTAACCGTTTAACTATTTTTGAATTTTAAGTGACTGTATTGATTAGAATTTCCAATGTTTTCAGTCTTTTGTTCCTCTTATTGAGGTCAACAAATATTAGCATAAACACAAATTGTTGGTCCCCTCATTTGAGGAAAAACATTTTCTAAGTGGAAATAACAAACCTTTTTTTTTTTGATATATATATATTTATTCAGAAAGTA